TGCACATTTTGGAATTTGAATGGCTCTACCCCGAGCTCATTTTTCAATATTTGCCGAATGGAATATTGCGATATGTTCAGCTCACGTGCCATTCTTCGGCCACTGCGACGCGGGTTTCGATTTAGTCTTCTTTACTTTTCGAACCATATCGTTACCAGTATCACGGTAACGAGCGATGGTATACCATCGTATACGAGACACCAAAGATTTATTCACGTTTAAATGCTGGGATGCGCTATAGATAGCCACTTGTGGTTCTCCAATATAAAGAGATCACACTATCACGCTTGAATTCCATTACGAATAACTTTTTTTTGGAAAATTCTCATTCTTAAAATACGTGTAATAAATTTTGTCCAGGTCGATTCAGATTTGTATATAGCTCCCATATATATCTTCAACCCATTTCCGGTCAATTGTTTACCAAAAGGTCAATATCAGCCCAAATGACCTGAATTTTGGCATATCCGACCGAATTCAGTCTAGAAGCAAGTTCATCGAAATCGGAGAAAAACGGTTCAGATATTTGGCGATTGGGCGTTTAAGTCCCTCACATTCGTAATATGCACTCCACAACAATGATATTTGGTACCATATATCTCTTAGAGCTCGGAAATACGTTTGCCAATTTCGAGATCGGCTAAGATTTGGATACAGCTTCCATATATATCCTTAATCCGATTTCAGGTTTATTGTGCAAATAATGGCTAATATCAGCCCAAATGGAGTGAATTTCGGGATGTACGTTTCCATTTTGTAGAACTCGGCTCATATATATATTTTTAATATAATCCTTCTCGAAGTGGTAAAATGCCATCTATAGCAATATTATTTGGTATAAAAGATTAAAATGTATCCGTCAATTTTTGTGAAAATCGATTCAGAATTGGATATGCCTCCCATACATTAGTTCCATCTGAAACCACACTATAACTGCTCTAAAGCCAAATGTTGATAGGTGGTATGATCTACTTCAAATAAATTCTTTTGTTACGGGAGCTCTACTAAATATGCATGGTGGTGTGGGGTATCATATAGTTGGTCCCGCCCGACTTTTGACTTTTCCTTTCGTTGCATATTAAACAAATTCCAATCTTTCAATTTATGAAAAATTTAAGATTTAAAAATTCCGACTGTTACAAAGGTAAAAAATTACATATATCGTATATTCACACCAATTTCAGCGAACATTCTAACACCCTTTCTAGTCTTGCTCAAGTCTATAAACAATCCCAATGTGCACATATTCCTTAGTAGCTTGAAATTGTTGTTATGCTTGGGGTATTGATTTTTGGTTTCTGTTTCGAATGATGAATGATTTGTAACAACATCAACAACAATGGCGTTATACATATAAACATACATGAGTTGTTACAGTATACACAATTTCCAACAGCATGTGGTGGCGAAATTTAAAAGTCGAAAAAAGGCTCTGACCGTTATGTATCTATTTATTCTATCTATGTATCTATTTATTTATTTATTACTATGATTTATAATTGGGGAAATAGTTGTGGAAATAATATTAAATCAATAAACTAAAGCTTTCATTGAAAACCGAACAAGTTAAAATTCTTGAATTATTGGAATATTCCTAAATTAAAATTAGTTAATTCTTTGCAGTTTCTCACTGTAAAGATTCGACACAAATTGTAAGAATAAGCCGTTAATCCTAGTTCTTAATTTTCATATTTGCCAAGCTGATAACTTTGTATCAAATCCACTTCATAACATGTCGGAACATTGTATAAGTAGCAGCACAATAACAAATAAAATTTAATCTTCTTTCCTAGATAAGAGACCACATAATTTGTGATGTTTCTGGCTAACGTAACTCCTTCTCCTACTCACATAACAGATAATAAATGGTTAATTTAACCAGAGATTCCAAATATTTCATTTAACACCGATTCATTTCGAGGTCATAAATTTCATTTACCAGATGTGGAAAAAAATGGAAATGTGATTAGAGAATAAATAATACTTCAATGACAGAATAAAAGGAACTTGAAACATGGTTTAACTTAAATTGAATTCAAAATATGTGGAAAAATATATCATCTACTGTATTTGTTTTGGTCAGCTGTTTTATCGTATGATATTCAAATCAATGTATTCAATTTAAAAGATAATTATTCAAAAACAAAATAAAACCAGTAAAGAAAGTCCTAAAGTCGGACAGGACCGACTTTATAATACCCTACACCACTTTGCTAATCTAGTAGAGCTCCACATAATAATTAAAAGTTTTTATGGGAGAATTCAATCATACACGCTATGATTATAATTATAATTTAAAGTTCAAAGGACCAAATATGCCGAAGCATTTGTATCTTTTAAATTCGGACTTGTATTGCCCATTTGGTGCAAAATTAATTTAAAATCAGATAAAGATATATATGGGAGCTATATCCAAATCTGAACCGATCTCGAAAACATTTTGCAAATATATTTTTGACCTGTATATGATATATTTCCTGAAATATCGTTGTTACGGAATGCATATTACGGCTGTGGGTAACAAATACTAGAAATCGGATGAACAATATATATGGGAGCTATAGCCATATCTGAACCGATTTTGATCAAATTTGGCATACTTATTTTCAGGGATGATTTGGTTGTATGTGCAAAATTCCATACAATTCGGGCTGATATTACACGTTTGGTGCCCAATAAAAGGCAAATCGGACGAAGATATATATGGGAGCTATATCTAAATTTTTACCGAATATCTCCAATTTCAATAGGGTTCGTCCTTGGGCCAAGCAAATGATTTGTGCAAAATTTCATCTCAGTCGGATAATAAATGTGACCTGCATTTTGTTCACAAGAATACATGGACAGACGGACGGACGGAGAGACGGAGAGACGGACTGACATGCATAGATCAACTCAGAAAGTGATTCTATGGAGATCCTCAATTCGGTCGTAGGTGCCAAATTTCATCCCATTTGGACAAATAATAGACGTTTGGTGCACAATAAAAGGTAAATCGGACAAAGTTATATATGGGAGCTATATCCAAATCTGAACCGATCTCGATAAAATTTGGCAAAGATATTTCTGAGCTGTATTTGATATATTTCCCTGAATATCGTTGTTACGGAGTGCATATTACGGTTGTGGGTAACAAATATAACAAATCGGATGAATAATATATATGGAAGCTATAGCTATATCTGAACCGATCTGAACCAAATTTGACTTACTATCTTCTAGACTAAATTCGGTCCTAAGTGCCAAATTCCATCCCATTTGGACTAATATTAGACGTTTGGTGCACAATAAAAGGTAAATCGAAGTTATATATGGGAGCTATATCCAAATCTGAACCGATCTCGATAAAATTTAGCAAATGTATTTCTGAGCTGTATTTGATATATTTCCCCAAATATTGTTGTTGCATAGTGCATATTACGGCGGTGGTGGACAAAAATAACAAATCGGAAGAACAATATATATGAGAGCTATAGCTATATATGAATCGATTTCGATCAAATTTGGCATACATATTTTCAGGCCTAATTTGGGTGTATATGCAAAATTCCATACAATTCGGGCTGATATTACACGTTTGGTGCACAATAAAAGGCAAATCGGACTAAGATATATATGGGAGCTATATCTAAATTTCGACCGATTATCTCCAATTTCAATAGGGTTCGTCCTTGGGCCAAACAAAAGATCTTTGCAAAATTTCATCTGGATCGGGCAATAAATGCGACCTGTACTTTGTTTACAAAAATACATGGACAGACGGACAGACGGACGGACGGACAGACGAACGGACGGACTCAGACTCAGAATGTGATTCTATGCAGATCATCAAAACAGAAACAAACAAATGCACAAAGACATAATACCCTGACCACCTTGTGGTGTAGGGTATAAAAACAATTAAAAAAGGACCTAAATTCGGCCGGGTCGAACATTTAATAGCCTTCTCCATTTGGAGGAAACTTGAAAAACTTTTAAAAATTTTCGTCGAAAAAAACGATTTAAATGAGCTCAGTTCGCTATACTATAAAAATACCGAATATTGCGAAATATCATTATATGGTGGCTATACAAAAACGTGGACCGACATGACCCTTTTACGGAACCAACCTGCCTATTGGCAAAATACACTTGTGTGCAAAATATTCATATTTATATATTTTGTCTCTGTGTGCCAGTTGATTAATATAAAGCATTTTGAAGCGATGGTCGGTAAAAAATATTATTTACAACAGTTTAAGTTCGGCCGTTCGGAACTCTGAATATACTCCACCATTTGGAACTAATTTGAAAATTAAAAATTCTGTTAAAATCTTAAAAATACCGAATATAGCCGTTATATGGGATGCATACGAAGACGTGGACCTGCATAGACAATTTTGTCATAAGGCATTAGAATATAGAAATACGAAACAGGGAAAAATCCGGTGAATCTTAAAAATACCGAATATAGGGAGGTAGTGATATATGGGGCCTATACGAAGACTTGGACCTGCATAGACAATTTTCTGTCGCAGACTGAAGTTTCCATTACGAACTTCAAATACAAAATTTGAAATAATTCCTGTCGCTAAAATCATCAAAATACCGAATATCGAGAGGTACCTTTATATGGGGGCTATACGATATCGTGGACCTATATAGACAAATCTCTTCCAGGGGGTAAAGTAAATAATTCCTTGTGTAGTAGTTCAGATAAATCGATTGAAAAATGTGGCTAAAATCATCAAAATACCAAATATATGGCGGTACCGTTGTATGTGGGATATACGATATCGTGGACCAATATAGACCTTCCCAATTCCAAATTGTAAAGTGCTTACAAATAACTTCTAGTATGGATTTTTAGAAAGTTCCATTGAAAAATGTAGCTAAAATCATCAAATGAAGTATAGTTATATGGGAGATATACGATATCGTGGACCTATATAGACAATATTTGTCTATATATACTTCTATTAAACTTATTAACAATGTTTTCTCTTTTTCTTCGCTTCCAGAAAATGTTCCTGTAGAAATGGCCAAAATTTCACGACGTGCTGTGGCCTCGTCGTCGTCGTCTGCATCGTCAACTTCGTCCTCATCATCAACTCCTAGCACTGTTGTTGGTCCTTCGGCCTCACCATTATCGTCCACTGCGGCCTCATACTCTGCGTCCATTTCGAATTTATCGCCGCCATCCGAACAGACTGCTTCAGCCGCGGTTACTCGCCTAAATGCCAATAACAATATTGTAAATGGTCGAAAAACGATACGTTCCATTCCCACATCGGGGTTATCTTCATCTCGTTTCATTGACACTTCTTTGGACAATGGCCGGGATGGTTATGGAAGCAATGGTGGTGAAGCGGACAGTGCAACGGTGGATCCTCTGCGCAATGATGGTCCACAGTTTACAACAAGCGCACACAGTAATGTTTATGCTTATACAACAACGACTGGGTAAGTGAAAAGTGGAAATTTTCTAGGAAAACTGAAAATACAATTATAATAACCCTACTTATTCCAGACCCAATAAACATGCACCATATACTGCCTCACCAATGCCTCCGGATAAATACAATCAAACAGCCGCACCAACTCCCACACTCAGCCCCCGTGAACTTATACGCGCCCAATTCTTTGCCACATATGATGTCATGACTGGTGTACGCATAGCAGCAACCCTGGGTGGATTCTTTGGTCTTATGGTGTTCCTGATAGTCTATAAAAGTCGCAGTAGTTCGAATGAAACTTTGAAAGTGTTGAAGGTAATTTTGAATGTGAAATTTTGAGTTTCGAGAGTAAAACTGAAGGAACCGATAGATCTCATAGATATGGTCCTGCCGGAAACATTCGTGGTTTTCCAGGTCCTCTCTCCCCTAAAAAACGGAGTAGTAATTGGCCTTCATCTTAGAGATAACGCACTAGACCGATCTTTATATTCGCGAAAGTGTCCGACATAAGGAACTTGAACGCCTATATATCCGAGACAAGGATATGGCCAGAGCTTTTCTCAAAGATAATGAGCCTTTTCTCGGAATTTTGGAATGGCAGTAGCATTATCTTGAAAATAAGGCCCAGTCAGGTCCCTATTCTCGGGAATATGGGCTGTTCAATTTCACTAATTCGGAAATAATCAGTGCTTATCTTAAAGTTAACGGATCTTTTCTCGGAGATATGAAATGGACAAGATCAATATATCGGAGATAAAGCCCTGTCAGGTCGATTATCTCGAAGAAAAGCTGCAGTCAGATCCATTATCTTGGAAATACAGAGCAAATCCGTAGTATCCCAGATAATGATCGACCTGGTACATTGCTCTGGAGACATGGATCAGACAGGTTTATATCCTATATGAATGCTAGTCATGTCGATTATAAAGTAGATCAAGGTCGATAAAGTTTATTATCTCAGTGATGAAGGGTGTTCAGGTTCCTTATGTCGGAAATTATCTCTAAGATGAAGATCGGTCTGACCGTTCAGGTCCATAACGTCGAAAATAATGCAGATCTAGGCCCACAGATATGAGTCCAAGAGATTCCCTGTGTTTAAGATTAGTGCCGGTTCAGTCTATTACCTCCGATTGTTTCCTTCGTCTTTCTCTAAGATCGAAGAGCCTCAGCTAATCTTTGAAATTTATTTTGTTTTTTTAAAAGGATCCCAAAATGGCAGCTGTCGCTGCGGTATGCATGCAGGAGGAAGAAGAACGAGAAATACAAGAAGCCATGGTTGCCACGGGAATGTCCATTTATCCGGATGAATATGATGCCATATTGTATAGACGTCAACGTATGCTCTCCTTGGGTAATGTTAGTGCTCCACCCATGTTGAATCGAGGTTTTCGTTTCTCCTCAGTCGGCGGTGGTTACAGTAGCCTATTGGAACCGCCACGCCGATTTTCGTTTTCCTCAGCCTCGGGTGCATTGAGTATAGGTGGCGCCACCTATGCTGGGAGTCGCAGACGAAGTGGTTCGGACACTTCACGCATCTTTAGCAATTACCCCATGGGTAGTAGTTTTGGTACCGACGACTATTTCGTGGAGACCGATGATGAGTTCGACAACGGCGACTTCCAGCAACGGGTGATGGCATCTACACTGGGCGAAGAGGTGGTGGGGAAACATCAGCACAAACGAAGTGATTCTACCAAAAGCAAACAAGGGTTTCTTGAAGTGCCATTAATGGTAAGCATTACGTTACGTTGTGTCGTCGGTGGGTTTCCACTTCTAAATTCCCATTTCATTTCAGGGTCAAGATTCACGACGCAGCAGTGCCATGACATGCTGTAGCACTGATAGTTCTTACCTAGAGAGACGTTGTTCTGCCTTTACATTGGGTTTGTCAAACCTGCCGCCTTCATTACAGCGAAAATGTTCTACAGCATCACGGGCGTCCAGCACTGAGATGTGGGACTATTACTATCCCGACATCCAAGTGATACAGCCCACACCCAAGCCATCACCATTGTCCTCGGAACGTAGTATCTATGAACAATTTCAGCAACAGACTCAGGCCACGAAATCAGGAACAGGAACAACGACTTTAGCGACGACAACAGTGGGGGCGGGGGCGGCGACTCCCCTGAATATGGAGACAACGCTGAAGGGTTTATCAACGATTACGACCACTGCAGCCAGCAGTGGCAAGTTGGCCAAACCGGTAACCACTCTAACTACTGCCAATGGCAAAACAACGGACAAAACTGGTGGAGGAGGTGTATCACCTTCTCAGAAATTTATACGCAAGCATAGCATTGCCTACTATGATCCGGAGAGTGCCCAGTCGGGCCGTAAACAACAAATACACTCCATAAGTGCTGACACGGTAGATGTGTATCCCTACAATCAACCCCTGACTGAACGCAGCATCTATGATGCGACAACACCAGCACAATCAGCACCGCCGGTGGGCGTGCATCAAGGCTTCCGTTTCAGCGATTCGCCCACGGAAGAGTTGCGTTTGAATGTCAGACGCAAAATAGCGGTGGTCGAACTTCCACGAATTCCCTACCCAGAACAGGACACACCGCCCAGTTTGGCGGCAGCTTTAACGTACGACAACAACAATAGCTTCCCCTACACGAATTCAGCAGCTGCCAAGGCTGCCGCCAATGCAAATTCCAGCAGTATTAGCATAGACAGTACCCCGCTGAGCATTGACAAGCTCAATGGTAGCGGTAGTTTGGGTACAGTTTCTGCCAAGGCATTGTTCAATGCCGAGCGAAGAGCACCATTGGCCTCGTTAAGTTCCTTTAAGATCTCATCACTTGAATATCAGGATTCCGAAGCACGTTCCATGGATGAGGATTCGGTGTTTTTAGATAGTGTGGCTGATACCGAGGAAGATTTGCGCCAGATGAGCAGTGACAGTGAGGAGGCCAGTCTACAAGACTATGTGGCGGAAGGAGAAAATCAAGTGGCGCCCAATGTAGCGCATCAAGAAAATGATTCAGTAGCAGGTTTAGCACCATCGCAGCTTAGATATCCCCTCGAGAGACATTATAGTCTGGGTGGAGGTGGAACCGCAACGACCACAACAACCAATTCCAACACCACCTGCGTTGCACCTCTGACAAGTGGTATTGCCGGAACTGCCAGTGCGCGTACACGTCGTTTGTTGTTGCAGCGCAATCGCACCATTAGTGTGTCTTCCAGTGATCGTGTGGCCTTGTTAGGTCATCCGCTGAAAGATTTTCATTCACCCGCCTCGTCTGTGGACTCGAAGCAAATGCCATTGGAGACACATTTCGGGGCCATCATCTGTACAAATAGTCCTCCCACACATCCCAGACGGGCCCAGCTGTTACAGCAGTACAGCGATCCACAAAGTCAGCCAACGACCACAACCACGACGACAACAACCAATACCACGGAAGACGACACCTGTTCCACGCTCAACACCGAGGTGGGTATGGGCGTGGAAACGCCGGGCGAGACCATTGATTTCATGATTACGGGTAGCAATGAGACCATAGGTTTAAGTACCACCACAAGAGGTTCAAGTCTAACACACCACAGTAGTCTGAATACGGTGGTGAGTTTTGGGCGCATTAGTCCTCTTACCGACAGCGCGCAGGCGACCACAGGTCCTGAACGACAATTTCAACAGCAACGAGATCGTGATCAACAATATCAACAACAGCAACTGCCAATTTCTTCTGCAACAAACACAACAACAGCAACAACACCAGTCAATATAAAACACCCCGTAGTAGCAACCCAATATGATCCTTGTGCCTCTTCTATATCTGATTCTTTTATACATACTAAGGAAACTCTAATAAAAATGCCTTCTTCTCTTAAAAGCCTGATTTTACACAAACCTTCCAAAGCAACAATCTCAGATCCTACGACATCGACGACAACAACACTACTACGATCACCGGCATCATTTTCATCACTACAACCGATAACCACAATAAGTCGCAGTGCCACAGATTTGTCCTTTGGCGACAATTCGCCCCAACAATCGACGGTGTTCTACTCCGCCCTGGAAGAGAAACCGCTCTATGAGACGCGACAACACTCACCATGTCCATCCGTGATGCTCGAACTACCTCTGATACGTTTACCCACCACTGAGGAGGATAGTTCATCGATCAAATCCGCCACGGAGCTGAGACGTGAAAGTGAGAGCGGCGATCACAGTCGCAGCTGTAAAAGTGACGAGGCGAGTCATCATCAGACACCATTCGATCCCAGTCTACCCAGTTCATCGCGTAAATGGTCCAAAGAAACATTGTTCTAGCTAACAGTTTTTATACGTAGTAATTCAAAAATGTCATCACTGCTGGTCCAGATCATGGTGTCGTACAATTAATTTATAGAAAGAAAAAGAGAGAGAGAGACGCGCACACACAAACATTCTATCAATGTTGTAGGTACAGTTTGCCACGAAAGTATTTCAATGAAAATGTTAGCAGATAGATAAATAAATGCAAGGGCATACCCATGGTAAAATTAATGAGGTAAAATCATTTCAAATAGACATGCCCATCTCTGCATTTTCTGTAATTTACCTTTTCGAATTTCACTGCATAGAAAAGAGGTTCCCATCTCTGATTTATGTATGTACAGCGAATTCATAAAAATGCATTTTGACAATGAGATGAAGAGAAAAAATGTAAACATATGATTGGATGACCTTCTTAATTCTACCATGGACATACCTTAATATATAGGTGATTTACTGGCTTTTTTGAAATATTTTCTTTACAAACTGTACACATAACTTGATAGCGGTATTCAGTTACTTTGCAAGCTAAACCAAAGAGAGTAAAGGTTAATTATCAAACAAATGATCGATCTTAGATAGATTTTGATGCTTTAAATTCAATGGTCATATATGAAACCTTTTATTTATGCTATAAATGAAAACTGTTTTTTTATTTCTCAAGCTATACCTGTCAATCTCTTATTCTAGGTTATTTAAGGCTCTATCAGATGGAATACGTTTTACAATAACACAGGTCGCGTAAGCAGAACGAAAAACGACTATTGTGATTGAACACGTTTTAATACGTTTAATTAACAATTACGTGATTTTACACGAATACTGATGAAATCACCTGGTCTTATCGATGGTCAGCTGGTCTTGTAGGGTGACCATGTGAATGTCACACAGGTTTGGGGCTTCTTATTAAGGATTCATTTACGATATCAATTCAAGATATGCTTTCTGCACTTTTACTCCCTAGGTTTCTTCATTTTATAGAACAGCTTCTTTAAAATTCAAAAATACAGCCCTGAGGCTATGACCACTTCCTGTCAGAATTATTCAAAATTGTATGCAACAAGTTGTTTTTGTTTACTTCATATTTTCCCTTTTGGGAAAAATAAATTAAAGAGCTCGAAAAATAAATGATATTTCTAGTCTCAAAAATATGATGCAAAGTGTTTAATCTATAAATTTCATGGCAAAATTGGCTAATATCTTTAAGTACGCCAAGCAATGTACGTTTCTATAAATCATTGATTTAAAACAAATTTATTTTTATTTTTCTAAATACACAAAATTGGCAGAAGTCCGGCGCGCTTGTAATCAGCTGATAGCCATGTTAAAATTAAGAAGGTAAATCCATCTCAAATAAACATACCCATCTCAGCATTTTCTGTAATATACCTTGTCAAATTTAAGTGCATAAAAACTAGGTTTCCATCTCTGATTTTTGTATTTAAATGACATTTATAAATATATATTTTGACAGTGGGATGTAAACATATGTTTGCATGACTTTACCTTCTTGATACTACCCTGCTGACCTTTTTTATTGTACCATGATAGTATCTAGTTCAGCTTTGTAGAGCACTCTATATTTACCCATCCAATGACGATGAAATATTTGACATTAAATGCCTAAATTATGTACCGTCTGATAGCAACTTAACTCTGTTCAAAGACCTAAAATGGTAAAGACTAGACAAAATACATTCTGAGCAAATGGTTTGTGTGCATAAATCTATGTAACAGTTCATGGCAGGAAAATGTTAATATCAAAAACACATTTATAGAAAAATATGAACATCAAATGTTTGAAAAATCCAAAAATGGGGTTTAAAAATTGTATTCCATAGACTTTCCAAATTAACTGCATATTGCCTAAGCGGTTTAAATCGCATAACATTGCTAACTATGTTGTTACAATATCATAACAACAGAGGTATTTTCACAGGATTACCATATCTTGGCTCTATCTTGTCCCATCTTAATACTTCTATGTCTTTGCTCTGTTTTCTAAAAATTGTCTACAGATCGGAAATTACAATACGCCAAGGCAAGTGTACTCATAATTTTAATGGGCCGAGGCGGAAAGACGAAAAGTGAGAGTACATAAAAAGCTTTCTTTGACTGGCTATCGGCTGACTTCTTCGTAGAGGAACAAAGGAGTTTTAGGTTGATTTAGTTCGATCTTGGACCTACGCCCATTTATACTTTTCCGAAGAAACCAGTCAAAAAAGCGGTTTATGTATTCTCACCTTAACCCTAACACTAGTCAACTCAAATTCTTCGTCGAAAAGATTCAACATCGAATCCCAATATTCCGGTGATATGTTCCACACATGGCACAATTATAAAGGTAATCTCATGCAATCATACGATTAAAATTATTTATTTGATGTCCATAAATTGTCAAATGCTGTAGTTCTTCCTTAAATATGAGCGTACCAAATATTTTGTCATTTCCGCGCCTTTTTGAGGATCAAGCAAGCATATAATCTAAAACAGAAGACTTAAATATTAGCATCATAAATTTTGAAATATCAATATTTCCAAGCGTTAATACATCTATCTGCATTCTTCTACCATGTTAGAATTGATAAGGTGACCTCAAGTTACATGTTGGCCAAATATGTGAAGGCTCTTTCAGACGAAATATTGTTAACATATGTAAGTCAAATTTTCCATATGTAGAAGTTTCACGTTTCGTGTAATACGTGGTAGAAGATTGCAGTACGCTTTGGAACATTGATATGTCAGAAATTTTAAAATGTTTTTTTTTTTTTTTTTCAAAAATAAGTAGTTGTTTTTATGTTTTCTTATACGACACAAATCGGAGGTTGTTATAATATGCATTTTTTAACAATTTTTACAAATTTCAATAATTATTCATTCAATATTTTCATTTCCAAAATCGGTTTGACATTTCATAGCCCCAGCAGCGGTTTGAAAAGTGTTGTTTAAAAATATATGAAAATTTAACTTACAGTAAGAAACTCATCCATAAAGTATTATAATTTTTTAGATAAGACAATGTAATCAAAGGAAATATATAATGTCAATTTGACATACGCTTAGGAACATTTATATGTCATTTTTGTAATATTTCTTTAAAAACAAGTATATATATGTTTTCCTACACGACGCTAATCGGAGATTGTTATAATATGCAGTTTTTAACAATTTTTTACAAATTTGAGTAATTTTTCACTCAAAATTTTCGATTCCAAAATTGGTTTGACAGTGTATTGTTCCAGCAGCTGTGGCGAAGCGTCTACCTATATTCTTCTACCATGGCACATATTTAATATTTATGATCTGATAGCAGTCACGGTAAAAGAACACAGGTAGATATATCAACGCTTGAGATGTTCTCAATTTTGTGTCAATTTTTTTTATTATTTCTTCAAAAATTAGTTTATTTGTATATGTTTTACAATACGACGCCAATCGGAGGTTGTTATGTTATGATTTGACAATTTTTACAAATTTGAATAATTTTTAATTCAAAAATGTCCATTCCAAGATTGATTTGACAGTTCATTGCCGCAGCAGATGTGTCCATGCGACCAGCTGCATTATTCTAAACAAACGTTTTAAGGCTTGTTTACATATAATAAATCCGGTTATTTTAAAATGTATTTTTCATAAAATGCCAATTTCTTTGAATATAAGTTTAATAGTTTATAAACTCCATAAAATGGGCGATTTAGGTGCCGGTATAAAGCCTGCTAAAGGGAAAACAAATTTTAAAATTTCATTTGATTTTAAAAATGTGGTGGAACATCCGATTATTGCACCATGGTCTGATTACATAGAGACCTTATAAGACCTTATTATTGCATCATAAATCATATGTTCGATCTGTAGTTTGATTGTAGGTTTTAGGATCTTAATGCAAACGGAAGGCCACGTTTACATACAACTACCTGAAAAATAACATCTTAGTTTATATTTGTCGTATTTTCATATAAAATTACCTGATAACAGCAATACTAACGACAATGTAAACATAGCTCATGAGACCTACTCTCTGCGTTGCTCTCCCTTGTTTTGTGCAATTAATGGAATTTATTGAAATCGAAATTTGTTAAAGAGCTTGTTGTTGATTTTTTTTATTACAAAACAAAACATACGAAACACACACACAGAAACCAAGAAAAAAATCTAGAAAAAGAAAACCTATATTATTATAAAATAAAAAAACTATATTAATGTATAAAACAAAATATATAAAACTAGTCTTTAATTAGTTTTTAGTTAAATGCAAATAATGAGAATTGTATGTTAATGTTAAATGTGAAGTGGATGCCATTAAATGAACGAAGATCCAGTCCTTTTTCTTTTGTTCAAACAAAAGCAAAAAAACATAATAACTAATTATAAACTAAAAAATGAAACAAAACATCAATGAAAACAAACCAAAAAAAAAAAAATGTTAGACATTAAGATCATTGTTTAAAGTAGTAGTTGACCAAAAGAAAAAATGTTTTTTGAATGTTTGTTTTTAGTAACGAAAATTAGACGAGACGACAATGAGTATTAAAATATCAAAATAAATGAAAACAAAAAAAAATAGAAAAACAAATAATAAAAATTATGAAATTTTATTTTCGTTTTTTTTAATTAATACATTTAATAGAAATGAGACTGTTATTATCCTGGGTCTTTTAAAAGAGTAATAATTAAAATCTGGAATTTAAAGGATACATATATTAAGTTGCAAAGGCAAGCAAATCAATTTAGAAAACAAAAAATTCAATATTTTATGGTGATGATACATAAGCATCTTGGCATCGTCGCCTTACATGTTATCTAACAAATTATAAAAGGATTTCAGAGCCACGTACTCGAATTCTGCCGTCGATGTCCCTTATAATTCGATTAATTAATTAATTAATATTAATTATGCCATGTTTACGATAGAACTTTTTTCAAGGTTAACCTACTTCAATGGTATTTATTTGAAGTACAGTAGTGGACAATGACAATTTTAATCCAAATCCGGTGTAAACGTGCTGTTAGATACGATTGGCAACTCTCATGGTAGAAGAATACAGGTAGATGCATCAACGCTTGTGAACACTGGTATGTCAAAATTTTTAAAAAATGTCAAAAACAAGTATATTTTTATATATTTTCTTATACGGAGCCAATCGGAGGTTATCATGATATGCATTTTTCAAAAGATTTTACAAATTTAAATAGTTTTTCTTTGAAAATTTTCAATTCCAAAATTGGTTTGACAGTTCATTGTCTCAGCAGCTGTGTCGATGCGACTATCTGTATTCTTTTACCATGGTAACTCTATAATACATAGCTTAATTATAAGGTCGCCCTACATAACCAGCTGACTACCACATTGATTGCGATCACATATATATAATATATATATGGCCTTACTTTTCAAACTGGAAATGCCCAGCAGCTTCTTTCATCCTTGTAAAAATTTTGCAGGAAAATTTTGACAAAAAAAAAAAAAAAACAATTTGTTAGCCTTAAAATTGTGTGTTTGTTTAAAAGGATGCATTTTCCAATATGTCTTATAAACAATAGAAAGTAATTTTGATATTTTAGCCACTAGGAGTTGAAAATTCTTACTAGAAAAATGTCCTTATAAAAATTTATAAACATCGACTGACACCTGTTTTATTTTTGCGACATAAATTGGTTTCTTAAATTTCAACAGTTTGGATATTTTTTGTTTTGATGACAAAGGGAGAAAAACTTTTCTCAGCGAAAGTTACTGAGTAGTTTTTTTTATTAAAATAGTTATCATACCGACCTATTAATGTGCAATGCGAACATGATAATATCTTTACACGAGACAAATTGTCTTAAATCAGAGTTGACGTTTACTTCCACACATGATAAAAGAAAACAGGTAGTCGCATAGACACAGCTGCCGGGACAATGAACTGTAAAACCAAATGTAAAATTGAAAATTTTTAATGAAAAATTATTCAAATTCGTTAAAATTGTTGAAAAATGTATATCATAACAACCTCCGATTGGCGCCGTATAAGAAAACATAGAAATCTACTTATTTTTGAAAAAAAAAATAAAAATTTTGACATATCAATGTTCCCAAGCGTTAATGCATCTACCTGTATTCTTCTACCATGCTTTAAAACATTGATATGTCACCATTTTTTTTGAATTATTTTTCAAAACAAAAGTAGTTTTTTATATGTTTTCCTATACGACTTCAATCGAAGGTTGTTATAATATGCATTTTTTAACAATTTTTACAAATTCGAATAATTTTTCATTCAAAAGTTTCAATTCCAAAATTAGTTTGACAGTTCATTGTCCCAGCAGCTGTGTCGATGCTACTACTTGTATTATTCTACTATGTGTACATCATTTACACAAGACATATTACATTGTAGTACTCCATTTGCAGCAGACGAGTTTGCAAAACACTTATTGTGGTTGGAATAACATTTTGACATGTCTACTAAAATTTTGACATTTGTGCCATGCTGCTCAATATTAAAATACAATGTTGTGATTTGAAATGCTTAAATCGCAATAGAATAGTAACAACTACAAAGTTAAAGTCCTTATGTGCAATATGTATGGACCTTTGTTGGAATGTGATACAATGAGCCAGCCTAACCAAATCACAATTTTTTACATTCCCGATTTTTAAACAATAACAAATATATTTATAATCTGATTGGCAAAAATTAGGCCAAAATATTTTACATAAGTTTAGGCGTGAACTGTTCTAAAAAGCCATAGCAGAATGAACGCGCCATGTGTTGTCGATATAACAACTAAAGGGAGACGGATTTGCCGACTCTGGAGTCCGTTTTGTGGTTCTTGTTCTAAAAAAATCTTAGTTGGGTTAACCATGAAAATAGACAAATCATAATAAATCTGACATTAAAAACATACATTACGTTTATTGTGATTGGTCAATTATCAGGGTTAATCCGGGAAGAGATTTTGTGTGTAAACGTTCTTTTATCATCGATATAAGAACGTTTACACACAAAATCACGAATATAACATGCGTTGCACATTCATTCTGCTTTGGCTTATATTATTTTATATTATAACAATCACAGGAAGACGTTCAGTTTTATCGACAAACCTGACTTCCCGTGCTTTTTGCTTTATCAAACATATTGTGCACCAAGTGACCAATATCATTCCTTAATATGCACTCCACAAGAATGATATTTAGTACCAGATACCTTTTAGAGCTCGGAAATACTATACGTAATCCGATTTCAGGTTTATTGTGATATCATATCATATTTTAACTTTTCCTTACTAGTTTTTACTGTAATTGGAAAACACATTTTAATTGGAAATAAAAAACTACGATAATGATAAAATAAACGAAGAAAAAGAGAGATTCTAATGAACAATATTCAGTTGAAACTTTTTGGAACAAAGAGTCTATAATTAGGATATATAAAGGAATGAATTTCCAACTCTAGTCGCAATTACATTTGACAAGTGTTTTTTCTTTTATAGTATCAGTTCTTTATCTGGGTAATTGACCCATTACTATAATATGAATTCAAACGTTAAATTGATAAAGATTGGTCAATTATTAGGCTAAGCTCGCATAAAGATTTGTATGTAAACGTACTTTAACAAGTAAAGAACAGTTTTACACATGGTAGAAGAATACAGGTAGATGCAACAACGCTTGGGAACATTGATATGTCAAAAAATTTTAAATGTTTTTTCAAATATAAATATATTTTATATGTTTTCTTATACGACGTAATTCAGAGCTTATTATAATACCAGTTTGTCAACAATTTTTACAAATTTAAATAACTTTTCCTTCAGCATTCTCAATTCCAAATTTGGTTTGACAGTTCATTGCCCCAGCAGCTGTGTCGATGCTTTCTGTTTATCTTTCGTACTGTGATTCCAATCGCAACAAGTATTTTGACAACTCGTCTAGCTGATCATACAGTACCTACTGACTGATTGGTAAGCCCATGGCGCAAGAACAAAGTATTCCCGTAAATTTTAAAAACCAGATGAAAAACAAAGTTGGTTTATTAGTGGAGAAGGATGCTAATGTTTAGCAGGGGTAAGGCAGGGAATACCTGGGTTTCGAAAGGAGCCACCAATCATCATCGGTTCCCTTGTTTCCAATTTTTACTATTTGTTTATGATTTGTTCTCTGACACCAATCACAATAATGCATTGTAACATTCCATTTGGTAGTCAGCTGGTTTGACAGGGGGTCCTTATACTTGGGGCATGGATAAGCCTTTACAACGAGTTTTTAATCCAAAATGCATTTCCGCGTTAACCATGACAATAGATCATTCACAATAAATGTATGTCATATTTTTAATTGTAATTAATTGTGATTGGTCAATTATCAGAGTTTGTGTGTAAACGTACTTATATTCTGGTATTTTAGCTTTTTGGAAAACCTAAATCGACTTATAAATTGCCCATGTTATCGACAATTTTATTATATCCAATAATTTACCAAACTTTAATCAAAAGTAAATATTAAACAAAACAAAAAATCAATTCTACTGTAACTCATATACCTGAACAAAAGCACTTTACAAAAATAAAATAAAACCTAAAAAATAAAAATCAATAAAACAAATACCAATGCACCAATAATAAACGAATGTTATAACAAAAAAGTATAACCCCTAAATGTAGACATTTTTAATAAGACAACCAAAAAATATAATAAATATTTTCATACCACTTCATACAATAACAACAACAACCTATAAAACAAATATTTATTTATTTAGTCACTAAGATTCTGTAGTAATGGAATAGAAAACAAGAAAATAAAACAAAATACAATTTCCTAACATCATCCCACCTATCAAGCATCTATTTTTCTACTGAACAATACAAAATGAAATAAAAAAAGAAAATTAAAAAAATAAACAATAAAACGAAATAAATTAAATATTAGAATGTTAAAAAAAAATAAAATAAATAAAAATACTTAGAGAAAAAAATAAAGAAGTCTCACAATATTAGGAAGATATTTTTTATTCAATTACAAAGAGGAAGAAACACAAAAAAACTAATAGTCTGTTCATCTTTTTTCTAGGCAAACAAAAACACAAACATAAATACACAAACAGAAACAAGAAGTAATTATAAACAATTTAAAAAAAAAAACATAATATTTTTACATCTATTTTATACTGAAATCTCCCAGAGGAATTTACTCACAAACATACACACAGAATTTTCTATTCTAAGCTTCAAAAGCTTATCTTTACATAAAGTTCGTTATCATACACAACATAATAACTCGTTCAATTTCTTTTAGCTCAAACTTCATAAATTTCAATCTCGGGGGTGCATCTCAAATTGGCTTAAAAGTAAGTTTACATAGAAATATTTATCTGATTTAATAATAATAATTGACAAATCACAATAAATTTGACAATGGAAAACCAAGGCCTATATAAAGATGCTATTAGACGATACGGGTTTACATATTTAGTGTCAAATTGTACATATGTAGAAGTTGCACACAACGTGTGATACATGGCCGACATTTAAGTTGTGAAATACTTGAAAAAAATACATATCATAGTA